TTTCCGTTTGGCTTCATTTGATCTGTCTAATTGTTGTGATTAGTCTGATACCTATTTCAATTTCAAAGGTTATTTTTGATCTTATTTTTATAGAAATAAGTTAAACTTAATTAATCTATTGTATTGACCTAGTTTACATAAGTTTAAGCTCTTTCATCTTGCAGTGGACTATATTTTGCTGGACCCCGCTGAACGCCAACGCCTCTTCATTTTTCAAACTCCTATTACGCAACCCATTTTTGTGGTGCGGGCCCCGGTCCCCTGGCACTTAAGCAAAAAACGCGCAAAAGAGTTCTGCGAACGTAGCCTCTTTGTATCTTCACAAGTCAGCTTAGGTCTCCAGCAATTGTGGTGCCAAAAGTAAGAGACACCTTATATAATTTTAATGTGACAGCTCCCATCTCTTACTAGCATTTAAACCCAATATAGAGGTAGTATATAAGCTTGCTAATGCACAGGAGGAGATTCTTTTGAAATCTACAAAAATACTCAATAAAAAATATATGGAAAGATAATTTTAAAGCCCATGCAACACTTTCACTTGCATAAATTGTGATTCTTAGTAATAAGGCTACAAGAGCCACTTGCAAGCTGCTTAAAAATCCATAACTTTGTCTGAATCGTATTTGAAGAATAAATAGTCTGTCATGAACAGCAATGTGAAATGATTCTAAGCATTTTTGAATAATCTGATTAAGATTAGTATGGTTTTGAGCTGACGATATTTCCCAAAATATCTTTATTACTAGTTTTTTATATGCCTTTTCTTTGCAGTAATCATACGTTCGCTGACACATAAAAGGTTAAGATGAATAGGAACGTCTTAGTAACGAAAGAACTGATAAGTTTATTGGTTTACAAATAACAAAGTTGGCTGAAAGCTTCAGCCTATTCTACCATGTAGGTGGTCTGCTTCACAATACGAATTAAGGACTTAATAAGCATAAGGAAAAGCATATGAGAAATCGACTACCAAATTTTACCCTACGTAAAAAAGGAAAACTTTCAGGAATTAGCATTGAGCCATAATAAGGAACTACAATTTTTTTATTTTGTAGGCTTGACGAATATTAGATCTAAGTAATATAGTTCAGGAAAATATCTTAGGCTTTACCTATTGCATATATAAGACAAGGGATTATATACACGGTAAGCAGGAATCACAAGCCTAAGTCCTTTCCCGATATTGATAAATGAAGAAATGGAAACAATAATATATATATAAAGAATGAATAGGAAAAGCTAGCATTCGTACCGAATGGAAGCAAGGCAATCGACTAGGGTTCTTACATAAATGGTGCGACCTCGTTTCCGCAACTTGGTCATATTGTCAGAAAGACTTAGGTTGATACACCTTGTTAGGAGTCCTCTGCTATAGAAGCAGAGAATATTTTTTACTTTGGACACTGAACTTAGCACATTACCAGACGATTCACCAGCATCGTATTCGAAATTGTCAGTGAGCTTTGCTATTTTGAGCATAAAACTATGCCTCATCAAAGAGACAAATAAAGTCCATTTCTTGGCCATTTTTCTGCTGAACAGGGTTTTTATTGTGACATGACTCCCCATTCTGAGTAAGTGGACTATACAAGCAATGTATAAAGAGAAATTAACACATTCTTCAATAGTTCCTTCCTCTAGAGAATTTTTAAATATTCTTTCTAGATCAGACTGCTACAAGGTTTTTTGATCATATGGTAAGGTCTATCTAGAGGATATTTGCCGACCAATCCAGAAGAGACTATGCGAACACAAAGTCTATGGGTCCAAAATGTCTGAGCTTACTTAACACATAAACAATACAGGACATTTACTAAACTGGTTCAAAGCCTTGGATATTTTGTCTATTGAATTCTACGACTAAGACTTAGACTCACCGTCTTACGACCCCGATGACTCCGTGCTGAGCCTTCGTCCATCCTTTGACAGACATCGTCAGAGCCAGAAACCACTATTCATGAAAAATCACCAAAACACTAAACCGAGAAAGTTAGCCAGTTGAGATCTTACTTACTTCTTATACCTCACTTTGCGATCTTAATGAGGCATTCCGTAATTTGGTTGGCTGACGTATGTTTGTCCTACATGCATGCAAGTGGGTCAAAGTGATGCTGACAAAGGAGTGGATGTGGTCAAAACTTTTGTCAATGTAAATATACTAGAGTATAATCCAGTTGTCCTGGGACTTGTTACAGCTTCGTCGATGCGTGTTTGCGGGTATATGTGACAACCTCGAATTAGTTGACAATTTTGGGTTCAAAAATAGTTTCCAGAAATCAAAAGTGGCTGAATATGTGGTCGCTACAGAACATCAGATCATCAGAACATCAGAACATCAGAAGATCAGGGAGTCGATTGAAATTAACAAAACAAAAAACATCCTAAATAAAAACAATGAATGTAGGAAACTAAGAAAGAACAGTATCTTGCTTCTAAATAGAATGAGAGAGTGAGAGAGAATGAAAGGGAACAAGAAGAACCACTAAGTAAGAGGAGAAGGCTAGACAAAGCTGGAGCATGTTTTTAACATAAAATTGTCAACTAATTCGGGGTTGTTGTTACTAGATCATACTCTAGTTGATTTGCATAGACAAAAGTTGTGATCACATCCGCTCCTCTGCCTGCATCACTTTGACCCACTTACATGCATGTAAGGCAAGCATGTGTCAGGCAACCAAATCATGGAATGCCTCATTAAGATCGCAAAGTGAGGTATAAGAACTAAATAGGATCTCAGCTGGCCCGCATTTCCTGGTTTAGCGTTTTTTGGTGATTTTTCGTGAATAGTGGTTTATGGCTTAGACGATGTCCATCAGAGGACGGACGAAAGCTCAGTACGGAGTCACCGGGATCGTATGACGATGGACCGAGATCTACTTTGCCCAATGAAACAGACAAAATTTCAAGGCCGTACCTAGTGAGGCCAATCTACGAATCCCTTCAACCCGCCTTCTAAAATGAAATGAAAGGTGCACCATAATCAAGCTTTTAAGGAATTCTTTGAAGCCCAGCAACAATTCATATCCCATGGTTTGGTTGGATACTTCAACCTTACTTTACATGTTTACAGATGGGTGAAATTACTTCACATACCAGAAATGTGTTCGATGATAGCTGTTTCCTTACGCAAAAACTAGCGCATTATCTTCTAATGTTGAATCATGCTCGGGCTTGTGCTATTGTCTATTGTGTGTATGTCACGCTCATATCACGGCAAGTGTTATAGTCCTAGCTAGACTAGACGCTAATCCAGCCTCCTCTGGTTCAGTGGCTTTTCCTACACTCCTTCTCCCTCATTCTCTTTAAGTCTATCCAACAGCTACACATAGATTCTATTCATTTTTCTACACTCGACTAAGGCTACAGCCGCCCACCTTTTATCTTGATTTAGTATATTTTTGCTCCTTTTAGTAAAGTATGGATTCCTGCTCTTATGCTTTCTGTCACAGTACAGACGAAAGCTTTGCACAATTTCATCGTGGTTGCAGGATTTTTAATCGAGGACTTCTTCGCACAATTTAACAGTCTGTCCTACTCGGCAATTCTCCTTCGGTTTCCGGCGAGACCACTATACGCATTACTTCCTACCAAACTTTTCCTTAGAAATGGAGAGTCATGTTGCAATATATCATTAAGAACATCTTCGAAACCCACTTTTTATTCATTTCATTGAGAGTTTTTACTATCTGAAGCAGCATGCGACATGGTACTATTATTATTAAGAAATACATTTACTAGGTAAATTCCTATTCTCTTGGTTGAGCTCAGACAGTTTGACTTGCCAGATAATATCTGAAGAATGATCATGAGCTTTTATGATACTGTCTTATACAAGAGAAGATCAAATGAAAGATTCTAAAAGCCGATTACCCTTTAAAAATTCAATGTAACCATATCTTGATCTGCACAAATGCGATGTTGCTAAATATGAAATTCTCTGCATAGACACAAAGTAGCCTCTTCTCTTGAACAACTTCTATAAGCCATTTCGCTTACCATCATTTATTTTTTGACCAAATTATTCTGTTATATGACAAATTTAAGATTAGTCAAGGTTGGAATACGTCTATACACAAAATAATTACAATCTTCAGATTAATGCATTATGGGGGAAAGGCTCCGAATATAACAAAAACATTGTGCTAAAGATATATAAAAAAATATGGTTTCAGAAATCCTTGCGGTACAGTAAAACAGTCTTAGCAGACTAAAAATTCTGGGAGGTGGATACTGAATACAACCCAAAGAAATACTTTAAATTATTTAGAATCATGATTGGAAGAAGACACTTTCTACATTTTGATTTGATTGGGCTTTCGAGACTACCAGTAAATAATATATATGAGTTATGTTCACCTTATTTCATTTAAGGTGATGAAGGACTGGGGGTTGAATTTTCCAACAATTATATGAGTAGAGCTGACGTTCCCATTGCATTTCACATAACCTTGCTTCCCAAAACGTGTTCTCATCCAGGTCGGAATGTAATTTCGAACTCACTTAGGTATTATCAACACCTCCAGCGGGAGTCGATTGATAACAAGACAGTGTGTGATCCTGACACGTTACTCACTACGCCACATTACCACGAGCTCCTTTGGGTCGCAGGACGTATGCATATTTTAAGGAAGCCAGGAATTTGCTCATATCACATTCTGTGTTTGGAGCGTAGATAAAACAATTTTATATTTGCTATCCCACTATAGAATTTGATATATGAAAATGTATGTCCTTCCTTGAAATTCACATCTGCCCTGAGATTCAAGGTCAGTTGTGACAGTGTGACGTAGTGCTTGACGTATCGAGATTATACGCTGCACTCCCATGGTCCAGCTCCTGTTGAAAGGGTTGCTTAGAGGTAGGCAAGGTCGAAATTGCAGTCCACCCTGGATGAGAGCATCCTTTGGGAAGGCAAGGCTATGAGAAATTCAATGGAAACGTCATCTCTACTCATATCATTGTGGAAAAATTCAATTACCATTTCTTTATCACATCAAATAAAATAGGGTGAACATACCTCATAATTTCTAGATTATCAGCCATGATCAAAGTAGATCAAGATGACAGCTTCATGAACCTAATGGACAGAAGATTTGTAGAATGAAAATCAACTAGAATTTTTTATTGCCTGGGCAGAGTTGGAGAAATTTAGCACTCGTCAAGGTCAACTATATAAAGACCCCTGGACCAGGAACGTCTATTAAACAATAGGAAAAGTGGTTACTAGGACGGGGATCGAAAGATACAATCGAAAGTCAAGATAAATCAATTGAAATGAAACGAGACAAACAGAATAATTTCCATAAAAGCTACCTTAGAATAGTACATTTTTAAAGCTAATAAATTAAGGATCTTGATATA